TTACCGGAGAAGGGATCCTCTTGATTAAGCAATCAGCATTATCGACGAAAATCGGATTCAATTTAGTCACGGATGTTCCACTTTGTTGCCTGAAGGCAGCTTTGAAACGTTGCTTGGCAGTTAGCTTTATAGTGTTTGCTTTGGATAAACCAAATTTGTTTCTGGAGCCACTCACACCTTTTCATCAATTCACAAAGATGTTTTGCAGTGAACCTTTTTAGCACCTTTCCATGTTCAAGTGATTTGATGGACATGACTGCTTTTTGAACCCTTTTAAGCGGTACATATAAATAATTTGCAGCAAACAATTGTCTATCAGCTTGCTGACAATGTCTAGCAAAAGACTCATGCTGTGAAGTGTCTCTGTACTTTTTTTTCTTTTATTAGACACACTTTAGTGCTTTTGTTATTGCTATTTTAAGTTTCTTAGAATATCCAGGGCAATTTACAATGTTCAGAAATTGTTACGTTAAGTGCAGATAAAAAAGGAAACAAGGTATATGACCACAAGAAAGAACAAGGACAATAATGCTGGCATAGAAAATAGAAAATGCTTGTTAACAAAATAAAAGGATACCGAATTTTAGTTTTGTGCACCATCGTAATTGTAAGCAGTGTAGATATAAGGCCATAATGGGGACACAGAGAAGGTGTGTTCCCCACATTTCAGGTGTATACAGTACATGCAACAAACTATTAAAATGGGTAATAAGAGTAGAAATGTAGTAGAGTTCATCAAGACTGGGTGTCCTTCATTATAAATTCTATTCTATCCTGTGTTTTGGGATTATGGTAAATTTATGGCATAAATTTGTCCTTAAGATCCTGAGATACTGTATGTCACGTCTAACTCGGAGATGGTTTCATTAAAATATTGATGCCCGATAAGGATTCTATAACAAACTTATTCTGTCGCCCTGTAAAGGAGAGTTAAGAAACCTGGATGGTTCTGATCACTTTCAGAACTCCTCCTGAATTTGGCTCCTCAGTAGAGATTGCAGAGCAATTGAAGCAAGGAAAGAAAATCCCACAGGCCTGAGAATTTTGCAGGGAGGGGGGGCACTATGCAGCATTTTTTCTGCGTGAGCTTTTAATTCATTCTCCTCCCCTCTACCCCCGTGGCTTTATAATTGCAAAGCACAGCCTGCTACCCTTCAGTGCAATACCGACAAGTGTCCCCTTGCAGACTGCTGGGATTTAACCCAAAAGATTTGCCCCCTGCTTTATAAGCCTTGCAAGCTGAAATCCCTCCTGGCTAACAAATAAATACATGTAGCAGGCCTCGGCTCTGGAGAGAGAAGAGAGAGAAACAAACATGCTGGTCTCTTCTGATAGGAATTTGCACAATAGAGCTGCTCTAGGATTTTTCCCATAGTGTGGCTGGCCTAGATTAAAAGGCTGACGTTGAGGCTGCACTTCTTAAGCTTTTTTGGAAAGCATAAGGATTGCTTCAAATCCGCAGTGTCCTGCAATCATGGTTAAGTCTGCCTGGTATCTGAAGTCCTTTTTTATATCGGCATCTTTGAAAAATCCAGTAGAAGCCCTCTAAGGCTGTTGTTGCTTGTATGGACTACCACAGTTCAAAAGTTTACCATATGAAGAATTCAGTGAATTTTATATTGGGAGAATCGTTTTGTTTTAAAAGACGAACAATCGAAAAATTACCAAAAATGTTAAGAATTGAGGAATGGCGATCAGTTGCATCTGTGAAGAAAAACAACTGGGGAGTAGGGGAGAGTTCAAATTGACCTTTTTGTTTTTTTTTCTTCTTGTGCACATCAACTTTTCTAGCTCTGTTTTCAGCAGCACAAATTATAGTCAGATCAGCAAATCTTCATTCCGAGGAGTAACTGAGAAATCCAGGGATTTTTTTTTTTAAGAAAAGGCACACCGGTTTCAAAATGACATTCTGGTGCCAAACTTTGAAGAACTAAACAATTTAAAAGTCAAATCAGTTCTGCGGAACATACAGGTCTAAAGCTATGTTCTTTGATCACAGAGCAGAGGCAGTGCGTCTCTGCGGCTCACAAATGAATGTAATGGATAAAAAGAATAAGGAAGCTTTCTTGAATTTCAGCTCTGTGCTGGTTGAGAGAAAACACAATCTGTGTTTCTGTGCAGAGAGAGCTATTTTGGCATCTCTCATCCAATTCAGTTTTCATTTGTCTCAGAGGTCATCCTGGGTTTTGAATAAGACCTTTTTTTCTGCATCGGAGAAATTGTTTATCTCTGTATGACTTCACCCTTGCCTTATTTTATTTATATTGCGTACTGTCAAGGTTGTTAAACTCGAGGAGAGAGTTTGTGATGGGGGTGGAAAAAGTTTTAGATGCAGTCAGTCACTTTGTCATTCCACAATAAATGTTATTGTGGGAAGTACTGGGAAAATGTTTCTGTTGTCACTTGGAAATATTTCTGCAGTAGTCTCACTTCTTGAACACATGAGGTTTTATTTCATATGCACAAAAAAGGTTATATTTCTTTACTAAATGGAATAAGGACACTTATCAAGCTCACCAGGAAACTTACTGGCTACACATAGCCTGTTTTCATACAGGGAAATGCTGTAATTCAGCGCACAGAAAGATCAACAGACTCTAAAGTTTTCCATCACCTACACAGACTCATTTTCTTGCAATTTAATATGCACAAAAAAAATAATTTTAAATACACGAATCTGAAGTCTGTAAAATGCCGGCATGATTAATAAGGGGGGAAAAAAAACATTCAAGTAGTCTACAAAAGAATAACGGTAATCCCAAATCTTTTGACACTTCAAATATTTGTTATATCAGCAATGATCCACACCATGCTGTATTCCCAAGCTATGAAATTCACAATTTAGCTGACATGGAGAAGAAGAAAAAAACAAACTGGTATTGTCTCGCTGATTGCTTTGAAACAGCTGAAAGGGAAAAAAAAATGTTGATCCTTCAGAGAAATCTCAGCGCTCTGCAGGGAAAGATTTGTGCGTTTACATCTGACATTCCAAAAAAAAGGCTTTATTGCATTTGAGAGACCATCAGTCATTTTGAGCGTACTGCATTTGGACTAGAAATGTTCTAAGGGGGAGAGTGAGTGTGGGTTTGTGTGTGTGTGTGTGTTGGGGGGTGGGGGTGTATGCTATTAGTGTTTGTAGCGTTCCACAGGGCTCTTTTACTCTACCACAGATACAATGACTTTCATTGTCTGAAGCAGATTGAGTTCTATCAGAGCTGAATTGAATAATTGTGAAGAAATCAACATGTTCTCTGGCAGACACTAGTCATCCTGAAGGGCCTCTGATTAGATCTAGCTATGTGCAGGTGGGCATATTTATTTTCATCCTTCCAATTATTATATTTGCTAATTAAAGCAGTTCAGGGCTAACTCTTTAGTTTTATTAATTGGAGAGGGGAGAAGAAAAGCTATTCAAATGAGGAGTTATTACGAGAAAAGGTTATCTTTTCGGCTTCATGCGCAGAGCATCTTTTTGAAAAGGTTGCAGGTCTCAATTCATCTACTTTCATTATTTGTGCTTTTACCACTTCCTTGTCTTCATTTGTGAGCCCCATTTAATACAAGAGGCTGAACAGAAGTTTAAATTCCATCACCCTTTATATCAGTCACACTCCTTGGTACTTCACAGACAGTTTTCTACCTTTCTGGTTTTAAATGCAATTCATCAATTTTTTTTTATTGTGCACTTAAAAATTGATAACAGGAGGCGCTTCTACACGAAAAGAGTTGTGGGACAGTATGACAGGACTAGCTGGATGAATCGAATTGGTCTCCTCTGTTTTGTAACTGTTCTTAGGAGATCGAAACGAACAACAAATGCCCATTCGGCGAGAGTAAGTCGTTCAGCCATGGTAATGCTTAACGGATCCAAGGATCTCACCCAGCCAGTTCTTGAAAGAAGCCAAGGTTTCGGCTTCCAAAACATGGCGGGGCAGCCTGTTCCAGACTCCCACAGCCCTCTGGGAGAAAAAGCACATCTTGTTCCCAGATGCACTCAAATGCCCTTTCGCATGGTTTCCACTTGTGTTCTCTGGTTGGAGCCGAACTGATGATTCTGAAGAAATCCACCATGATAACGTTTTCAGTGCCTTTGAAGATTTTGAATACTTGAATTGGGTCCCCTGGTAGCCTTCTCTGTTAAAGGGGAATTGCAAGAATTGGCGTTGATGAGTGCATTTCAAGCCACAATGAAAGTAAAATGTGCGCAGCAGCTTGTAAAACCTGCATTTATAAATGGAATGGATGGAATTTCCAGGTATGCACAGCGCTATATTCTGCGATTCAGAATGAGGCAACAAGACTTCCGGTGAGCTGAGGCAGCCCTATTACATTGTGAGCAAGCAGGCTTGTGAATACATCCCTTTATTCCAACAGAAACATCGCTCTTGGTTTTGAGACGGTTTTGCCGACGAATACTATTTTCTTGTTAACTCTGCATGTACATCACGTTGGAACATTTCTGCACAACCTGTACTTACTCACTCGTACATTAGTCATTACCGGGACTAGTGAAGGATGGTAAGACACTGCTACTGACCTATCATAAATATATGTTTTTGTGTGAAAAGTTTGCTTATCTTCAAGAGTAAAAGCCTACGGCTATCCTTAGGAAAGTGAGTGAGACAGGAGGTTAACCTGTGAACTTTGCCTGCCCCCCCTTCTGTATTGCGATAAAGATATCTCCGGCTTGATTTACCAGAGTCATGTGGTTTATTGAGAAAAGGGTCAAACACTAGTGAGCAGGAAGGGCCGCGTCACGTTGCGATTCCTGGGAGCTCTCCCTCTCGCCCATGACGAGACAAGGGGTTTGGGACAACATGGCGGCTTACAGTACTTTCACAAAGTTTCCTTGTTGTTAATACTATACTGTAAATGATGTTGTCCTCCAGTCTAAGATGTATAGGCATGCTCTAGGTTTTCAGGTAGGAGAGCAGAAATCGCACGCTCTTGCTTGCCAGGATTTGTTGTGACCTCTTCCTGTGTGTGTGTGTGCTCCGCAGGAAAGAGCAGGAACAGTGGCGGGGTCGCGGGGGCAGCAGGAGGGCACAGCCCGTTTCCCACGCCGCAGGATCCGGAAGGTGAGATCAGCCCGGCCACAACAGCTCCTCCGGTTAGCTTCCACAGCCACCACCCGCTCCTGGGAGAGTTCATCCACGAAAGGCTGCTGAAGAAGGATTTCCTGGGCCAGCAGCATTTCTTCTCCAATGGGGAGGCTGCTGGGCGTCCTACACTTCCCACGGCCGACTCGTACGCGGGCGGGGACCCCTCGACCAAGCTGGTGCCACACGAGGATGCACCAGCCTTCTCGGACATTGCCACTACCACCACCATGGCCACTACTTCCCCCATGACCACGATGGCCACCACAGCCCAGGAGTCTGCAGCTTCCCTGGCCCAGAGTGGAGCAGGGAAGAACCAGGGGAGACCCACGGAGATGGAGATGGAGAGGGTGGAAATGACCTTGGAGTCCCTGACCACCCCCGTCATCCAGCTCACTGCCTCCAACGTCCATGGCAACAGCCCCGCCCTTGCCACACCCACTGGGGAGGGGCCTGTCAGTACCGGCGGGGTAACCGCGGCGACCAGCCTTGCCGTCTCAGCCCTCACCGAGTCAGTGAGAAGTGAAGCAGCTCACACCCAACAGCCCATCGCTGAGCAGAACATGGGTACTGCCAGCGAGATCACAGCAATGACGTCGTCCTCCTCCTCGGGGGAGACCGACGAAGAGACCACCACAACCACTATCATCACCACCACCATCATCACCACAATGCAGACGCCAGGTACGACTGTCCAGATCCATAGAAAAAACATTTGCACTCCCAAAACTCAAGCATTTTATTCTTCTGTATAGTGGTAAAAAGATACCAATAGCTCTATAATAGCCACAGAATGAAATATGCATGTTTTAGATGTATTGCATAGTTTAAAAATCTTAAAAGTGACCTAAGTACAAACATACCGCATTAAATGCCAAAGTGGGAGAACTCTTAATAAACTGATTCCCCTCTGACAGCCAGCAAAGATGTTTTCACTTTCCGTGCTATTAAAAGCCACAGTCCAGTCAGACACAGAGCCCTGCCTCTGAAAACCACAGGAACAAACTGCTTTGAATTCCCTGCGTTTGTGCCGTTCATATCTAAACAGCCTTGGGGCTTAAATTAATTATAACATCAGTATTCTGGCTTCACTCAGCCAGTTTAATCAAGTGCTCCTGTAACGTAATGGAGGAGACAAGATTGCAGCTTGTGATCTTAAGCCACCTTTTTTTTTAAAAAAAAAGTTCCATTGCGGAACAATCCGGAATGTCACTGGATTGCAATGAAATTAAAGCAGGAGTGTTGGGGGGGGGGGGTCCTAATTGATAGTTTACCCACTAGGCCTTCAAACTGTCCTCGAGAATTGGACATTTTCTTAAGAATCAAGCTGGGGAGGGAAAGTGCGAAATGAGACTGCAGAGCTGAAGTGGCTAGACTGACAGCCCCCCCACGCGCGGGGGGTGCGAGGGCTTCTGTCCTCTGCGGGGCTCCGTCACGGACGTGAGCAGACGGGAGCCAGCACGCTGTGTGGAAATGGGAGAGCTCTCCTGGGACAGGCCCGCGAATTGGAGTCCGCCACTTCGTGTGCAAGCGCAATCCATTTGAAGGTCTCCAGCGAGCACCTCTTAGCTGAAGTGACGTTCAGGAAAAACAGGCCGAGGAGCGCGTTTTTGAGAGGCTGTATTCGAGGCTGCATCTGTAGGCCTAGCGGCCATTTAAATATGTTGCTGTCCTCAAGAGTTAAGAGAAACAAGGAGAAACAAGCTTCTGCAGAGTGTCAGTTGATTGTTCTGTTCTCAGGCTAAAAATGAATCCAATAACTAGGAGAGGCCTTTTATAACAGAGATTTGCTATACTGGAAATAAAGGGTATGTTCCCTGCTACAATAACTTACACTTTTATTTCTAAAATGAGGGCTTTCCAAAATTAGTTTTATTTGATGGAAGAAGTTTCACACTAATATAGTCCCATGTGAGAGAGACCTTGAAAAACAACAAGTTGAGGGCCACACCAATGGAGGGACGTGGTTAATGTTATTTTACTGTTCTACTTAAACTCTGGGGTGAGTCTCCACTACAAGAGAAGTAGGGCATGGATATCCCTCTTCCTTAACAAGTGAAAATTGACCAAAGTTCACATGTGGCAAAGCTGCTTACTCAGCCTCACCATGACTGGGCTATAGTTGTCGGGCTGCTCTGGAGGAGGTTCCAGAAATGGTGAGACTTCCTGTTTGTAAGAGCTACTAAGCCGTCCTGTAGCTCCCCCTACTGACACCTATGTGCTAACCTCCCAAAAACAGCCTAAAGTGCAAGATTGAGAACAAAAAACGATCAAGAATTATGAGGCTCTACACTTACATACGCCCCCGCGCAGATAGCAGTTGTAGATTGCATTTAATTCTAATGCAGAAACCCCAAGTTCAACAGAAGGGATCTGTGTAGAATCTAAAAAGAGAAAATAAGCAGGGATTTGTTTAGAAAGTAAGAATAGACAACAAGCGAGTCCTTATTGTTTTGAGTATGGGACACCTTGAAAGAGGTCCATGTGGGGCCAGTGGGGAGTTGTGAATGGATCAGGGAAGTCAATAACTTTCATTTCCTCTCTTTCCAGTTCCCTGTAATTCAAACTTCACTGCCCCAGAGGGCTACATTGAGTCACCCAGGCCGTCCAGTGTCTGGTACTACTCCAGCATGGACTGCACTTACTCCGTCACAAGTTTCCTGGGATACGGAGTGGAAATCCAGGTCAGTGGTCCTTTTTTTCCTCCCTTTCCATCCCTCCTCCTGGCTGGCAGCCTTGTTTATGACAATGAGGGGAAAGGATGTGGCTCGTTTCTGCAGGAAGATGGCAGGGCGTGAAGGCTGAACACCTGAGCACAGAGTCTTTCCTTGCAAACCATCCCGTGACCCACTTACAGCACCTGAGCGATCCCCCTTCCTTCCATCAACAGCATTCCTGAATGGTAAAGAGCACCACATGCTTGGTGCATGTTGGCTTATTTTAGGTTGTGTTGCTGCTTATCCTTTCAAAAGCAAACCCTGGGAAATCGTAGCTCTTTGGGTGATTGTGTGCAGAGCAATTAGTAAGCGGCCATTTGCAAGGACTCACATAAATGGGGAAAGTATAATTCAGCTAACTGTGCTCCCCATTGTGCTTTGTATTCCTTTGGCAAAAAAAAACCCACATTTTCTCATAGTTTCCACATCATTTAATTGGAAAATAATAAAAAATAGGACGAACAGTTGGTGCCTCTTGTGCTACAGAGCAATGCATTGTGGTCACACACCTTATCTTTTCAAATCATGCCACAAGGCCATCTGCCTACAGTACATTTCAACAGCCGTTGGTCTGCACTGAATTAATCCACTGGTTCCTGTACGGTAGCAGTGTCTACTGCGAAGCTCTGCTGCAACAGAGGTGAAAAGGAGAGGTAAATAAGTGAATTCAGCCAGTCGAAGCAATTAGTTGCAAGCAGGAGTCAGTCAGGAAAGACAAATGCTCGGCTACACGGTGAGAGCCCTGGAGATAATCGGTGTAACCCTGCTCCAGTTTTCGGAATGACGTGGAAAGCGATGGCCTATCAATAAAGCTGGTAGCGCAAACGGGATTAAATTTAATTTCGTTTTACTGTAAAGCAATTGACCCAAAAAAAAGAACTGAATTAATTTGACGTGTACAACAAACAGTCAAGGCGTAGTTCCGATGTCGGCATGATCGCAGCGCAAAACTAGCCCAAGCTGTGCCTTGAACAAGTCGAGACTTCTCTGCCGTTGAGGTCTCGAACAGCTGCAATGGCACTTGAGCAGATCCCTGATTATCAGCTGAAACGGACACCATTTACATTATTCTGTGTGCATGTTGCCACTCCGACTACACCCTGACAACCAGTAATATAATCTAGTCATGTCCAGAACAGCTTGAGCCTACAGAAACATGCAGGCACACTTTCCTCTCCTCTACTTTAAGCTTATAGCTGGTTATTTATGGCTGAGGAGCACCACATGATACCGAGTTTTAAAGAGTTTTATAAGGCCGACTGCATGATGGACATTTTCCAACAAGCTAAAAGCTGTAGGGGTCCCATTCTGTTCCAGAGGTCCATCAGCAGTGGGATCTTTATGCTGTAGTAAAACTGTGTAGACGTGGCGTGACGTAGTGCTTTCATTGGAGAGTGCTTTTTCACCTCAGCTACCCCTTTCTCCATGATTAACTTGCAGACTCTGCCTTGCACTCAGAAGAGTCGGCTCATAAAATTTACAATTGCTATTACCCCTTTGACCTTCCAGATGGTTTGGCTAATATATTTTGGATGAAGAGGAGTGTGTACTGTAGTGCCTCACCAGTGATTCATTCCAGCAAGTGATGCCTTCAGGGTAGCTGAAGACTAAAGTCCAAAATTATGCAACATCTCCTTCCCCCGCCTGGTAACAAGGGGAACCAAGAAAAAAAACCTGCAACCCCTTTTTTTTTTAATCATTCAAGTGCTTGATACATAAGAGAGGCTGCTGAGTTTTGCCCCTAATTAATTGCTTATGGATTAGCTGTCCTCTCCCTTTGTTTGTTTACGACGCACTTAAACATCCTTCCATTAAAACGCCTTTCAAGCAACTCTTTACTTAATTAAAAAGGCTTGGGTTTGGAACCAAGAGACACAAAATATTTAATTCGGAGATAATGTAAAGGTCACAATTGCATTTAAGAACACTTCGTGACCTACTTTAACCAATTAAGGCATTTGTATTTACAGTACATAGGTTAGAATTGATTTAACCTTCAAGGTGAACCTACAGCAAAAGGTTTTTCTTTACTGCAATTTCTGAAGAGACTCAGACCATTGGAATACCGTTTTCAGAGAACAGCACGTGCAGTCTCAGTTCCTTCATCTCACTTATTTCTGTAAAGCAGATGTTATATGTCTGAGCAAACACATTCTACCCAAACAGTGAACAGCACCAGATGTGTAAGGTTTGTTTGGTTCATGCATGGCACTATATTTGGCACAGAAGTTGCAATATTAATTGCAGAGCAACTGGAATATTTAGCAGTGTATTTAGGTCTAACTGAAACACATTTCACAAATTAAATGATCACAGTATCACTTTCACATACTTTCTTTTTGTTTGGTTCTTTTGATAAAAACTGCATTCAGAGAACTGTTGCTCAAGGCCCACTGTTATTCTCACCTGCCAGATGGAAGATTCTTTCCATTTCTTGGTTCAGCCAACAGATGGTTTGGTTTATGGAAAACCAGCAAATCACTTTCTTGGAGGAGACCTTATCAGCAGCATTTGTTTTTGTTTTTGCAACAAAGAAAAAATCATAATTTACCAGCAGGGGTTGACCCCAAAACCACCACCAAAATAGTAAGTCCTCACCTATCTCGCCGTGATCAGCCCTCTGGGTATGTACAGGAATTACTGCAGATAACCCTATGAAGATCAGGTCAGTGAATGAACACACTTTATAACAGAGACCTTAAGGAAACCTAGATTCGGGGAAACACTCCATCTGAACAACACAGTCCACTCTAGCTTGGCAGCAGTAGATGGGAAAGAAAGGCTTATCTGGTACACACCTCCATGATGGACTTTCCAATATCATGCAGATCTAACTTCACGGGTGCCACCCTTATGTTCCACTCACCATATGGCCACAGGTTCTCCATACTACTCTGCTGGCTTGGGGTCTTCTGTCACACTGTTTAGGCGTTAGTGGGGTTATAATGTACTTGCAGCACCCAGCGGGAAGAAACTTTGCCAAGGATATTTTTTCTCTTTCTGTCTCCGGCAAATTCCAGCTGTTTGTAACTCCGATTTACATCCAAAACAGAAACAAGCTCTCTGCCCAATGTTTTTGTGACTGCAGTTGTTTAAAAACATTACTTTTTTGGGTCAGGTCTGCTGTCTGGAGAGGGTAAAATCAAATCAAAATCTCAGTACAATTATAAAGAAATGTTTGGGCTCCTTTTGTCTGTACCTTTCGTGTGATTTTATGTTAGATGAGAGGAAAAAAAACTAGAGGATACTGTATTTAAATGAAGAACCGTGAAATTGATCAGTTTTTTTTAATGCGGTTTATTTAAATGTTAAAAATACAGTGTAAGAAATTAATAGCATCCACTGCTAAGGTTTATCAACAAATTTCAACCTGGAAACAGTCTATGTACAGCAAGGTCCATAGGGACTGCAGTTGCCTAGGTCTGTTCTGAAGGACCTAGATGAGTTGGAAGCACTTGTTTACTTGAGTATGTTATTTTTCCTGTGTTTAGTCTTCTGCTTCTGTACAGGCATGATGAATGAACCTCCCAGATCAGAAGCATCCCTGCCTTTTGTGTAATTACCTCTCCAAGATTAGTCTTTCCCACTTCACCTCTCTTGTGAATGTGCCGGTTTGTGTAATCTATTTGCTGAAGTGATTTTATTGCCTTTGAAAATCTGTGTTTGGGCCAAGTTAGAAAGTGGGCAAAACTTTGCTAGTTTGTCCTACTCAAGGTTTCTAGAAACCAAGGGTGCAAAGTAGGTGTCTCTCATGCACATGCAGTACCAATACATTGCCATGCAGAATTTAAATTAGTCCCTTGTTAGTAAACCAGGCAGTCACCAGGCAATATTTTGTAACTCTGGAAGGGCGAGATGTTGCTTGCAGAAGAAGTGCTTCGTGTGGGCTTGGTTGGTTGGTTCAGTGTTAAAATTGACATTCATGCCATCACCCAGGTATCCAAGCCTCAAATTGAGTTCCTCCGAGTTCCAGGTCCCCAAGCTGGATTATGGAATGAAGTTTTCTCCTTCTCCCCATGTTTATGTTGGGATTAGCTCAGCTGCTCCAGATGCCTCACACCTCCCACAGACGTGCAGGTTGGCAACTTTAAATTCTTCCCCCAACCCCCCACCCAGCACTATTCTCCTATAAGCTTCCCAACTCATGACCTGCCCCCGAGAGGAGAGGCATAGGAGACACCCTTCCCCTGCTCTCAACTCTGGTCAATGTGCCATATGGATGGAGGAGATGTCAGCCCGTAGGCATACAGCAAAAATAATTTCAGAATTATCGGGGGAAAGCAAAATGGTGCTGAGAAGCCGCGACGGAGGAATGCAGTTAATGAAACTCATCCCAGTTGGGGAAAACTCTTCCATGGGGGTGTAAAAAAAGCACTGCTCTCATAACTGTTCTTTTAGTTCAGCCTTGCCTGGGATGGTGCCCACCCCTGGCGCGGATAGCGGTGTTGATTTTCGCAGTTTCCTTTCAAACGTTCAGGGATCAGCCACTTAAGCAAAAGCCAGCTTTTCCACCTGCGACCCTTTTCCCCTACTGCGGAGGCAGTTGAAGCCGAAGGCAGCTCCGACAGCAGGCAGCCCTGGAATATTTGCTGAGCGTGGCTGTTGTGTTAGCAGTGTGATCTGGGGGCGCTCCTGACACTGTGTTCCGCAAGCCTCTACACTGCCCTTGCCTTGTTATCTCACAAGTTTAACTCGCAAGGCTCCGTTTGGCACAGACAGCTGCCAGGCCAGATATATGCACATCCTTATACGAAGATTAAGTCTGGAGGAAGCACAGGCCAAAAGGTGCATCTGCTGACTGCATAATGCGTTCCTCCAAGGTCTGGAGTTCACCTGAATTATTCAGGGCTCATAAAGTGTCTATTTACAGTAAGAAGGACAGGTGCAATCAGACAGACTCTGAGGCTACATGCCGAGCGGTGGGGGAAGCAGAGAACTGCACTCCTGCTGACCAAATTAAATTCACA